ATTCAACAACGAATTTTCTGAAGTATCCGCACCACAGTTCTTGCCGAAACATCCAATCCGAACTCCATCTCAACTGCTCTGGCATCGATTGTTCTGTCAGAATCAGCTTCGATAATTTGATTCTTTCTTCTCTCGGCAGAAATACTCAATCTCCCAAATATTTCCACACACTTGTGATTACTGGCATACCGGATGATTTTATGAATACCTTTGCTTCAGGACATACGTATTAAGTTGTTGTATCGTGACATTATAGATAACAGCAACTGCAGGGGCGCCGGATGTGGAGGCACTGAATGCATTTTGATTGGCTTATAATAAACAGACAACTTTTATGGTTACCTGACGAACCTTGAAATTTCACCATAATGTGCACGAAAGCAACGCACGGACCTCGGGAAATTCATATTTCAGTCACGGTCGGAATATTCCTAAAGTTTTCTCGCACCCAATTTGACATAAGTCAAACGAAATTTTGAAAAATCTTATGATAGCAAGATTAGATGAAATAGATCGACTGTCCCTATAATTTCAGCGCGTAATATATACCAATCACCAGTGCATCAACAAAATATTAGCGAACTTCGATTATTCTGTCACCCTTCAACTTAGCCTATCTTTAGACAGACATTTGAGTATCGTTCCCTTTATTCAGTAAGAATAAATAGAATGTACCATGAAAGACTGAAAAATGGAAAACCTGTGCGTCACATTCAGTTGATTTAGAAGAGAGCGTCCAAAGTAATACTGAGCGATGTATCACAGCTTATGCCCAGATTTTCACACAATCGATCAGAATGTGTTTAGACTTTCTGTGTTATGCCATACAGCTCAACATCATCCGATTTATCATTGTCATCTATGTATCTGAAATCCATTACATTGCATAAAAATGGAACACAATAATCCACCAAATGAGAAATTTCATACCTCACCCATGTGGAGCTTCTCCGCCTCTATCCCTAGTTCGGGTAGGTCAGCTAATTTTACTTGGAGTCCTCGTAAAATTGCCCCACACGTTCCAAGCTCGTGATCACCCAAAAGATTTTGTGAAACCATTCCGGCCGTTTCCGTGACTCCATAATTCTGAAGGATCTATATAAAGCAATATCACGAAAACGATCATTCAACAGAACGATTTGAATAAAGTGGTAACGTTACCCAAATATTTCATCTTAGATCGTCATATAACGCGGTACATCGGCATTACGTTATCTTCAAATGAGTTTGACAATAGGCGAAAAAATTGTGGATTGATCATTGATCCACTTATGTTCTAAAGCTTGTACTTTTCCAGAATACTCAGAGATTATCGCTCTCCCATCATGGAGAGTTTCTCACCCATAACACCAAGATTTGCACAGAAGTTGAACTAACGACGAAATTGGGGCAAATAGATCGTAAAACAAATTATAAATGCAGTACTTTCCGTCTCCACAATGATTGAAGAATCAGGACTTTGTATATGAACTGTTCATCATCAGCCTTGGGTCGTAGGGTAAATGTAGAAATCGCTGTCTTTTGTTGAGCCTTGAGTCTTTTGTTGGGCCAGTTTACGGCGGAGCTTTTTGTTCACCCTCCGTATATTCCAAGTTATTCCACATCCATAGCAATTGATGTTTCGGAAACGGAAACTTGAAGTGCCGATGGCAAGCACCACATAACAGACATTGAACGATGGATTCGGTAGTATCAGGAATATCATGCTGCAGCTTAGGTTCACGTTTTTGCTCTGACAGCTGGGTTGATTTCCGGTCAAGCTGTTGAAAAGCGTGCTCTATTCTTTGCATCAGATCCCTATGCTGTTCACAGGTCTTGCATGCTTCTGAGAACGTCAGATCTTAATCCTCCAGTAATTTTCGTCGAATTATCCAATTGCTGATACTGGCCACTAGATGATCGAGCTCCCATTCTACGTGTTTGGGACTCCGCACCCCAGACACAATTATTGATCCAGAGCAGAGGAAATCACAGTGATATCAACTGAGTTCGTGGAGACGAGGTGTGACAAATCGCCTTGAAAGATGAGGTTTTATGGATTTTGTTCATCTTTTGAAGCTTACTGATAGTTGAGGATTGGAGCCCATTGCACAAGTGACAAGGTAAAAAAAAATTACGATCCATTTGGTCCACAGATGCTATCTGGAAGATTTTCAGACGCTCTCTGAAATGGATTAGTTCTCTTTTCCCTGTTTACCATTCTTTGCTCAAGCAGAAAATCTGACGTTGCATCCCCAAAGTATTGATTTTTTTATTATCGCTACCGGAGAAAATTATGCATGCCTTCCATACGTTGTGGATGCGTTGTATCACTACGGTGGGAAAATGGTTCACGCGCTCCGTCTGCAGTAAGTTCTTGACATTTAACAGAAAACCCGATCGTCAGCCATCTTAAAAACTGCTTTTGTTATGTTGTTTTTGTGCTTATAGTTCGGTCTATGTTAAGAAAACCGTCTATACAGTATACAGAATACTACTTTTGCGGTGGTTTTGACCTTTAATCTGCCGCAGATTAAGTATGTGATAAATAATCTAACACAGTGGACAATAGTAGAGACAATCAGGTTTTATTTTTCACAAAGATCGAGTGGCCATTCTCCAGTTCAGGTCTGAACCGTATTCAGCCTTGCATTAGTTGTTCCAAAGATCGTTGTCCATCACCGGACACAATTGTAGCAGTCCAATAGGATTTTGTTGATCCCAATCCCACATGTACACAAAATGAATCCAGGTCTTCGATTCATCTCGGTTCTCCGGCAAAGGATTGTACGCACTGTGAGCTTCACAATAATTAGTACAATCCTTTCCACTTCATTTTGTTGTACACAGATTTTACCTGTTGACATGTCTTATGAGTGAGCCATCCATTAGGACAGAACTGATATGTATCATACAAATGTAGGGATAGAACAGTGTAGATAAGTGACGGAGATCATGCAACAAACAGGTCATAGTCGGTTGAGCGAAGCGATAAAAAGCCTTCCCGAATCTGTAAAGCTCACTACACACATACAAAGCCGGCCTTTCTAAGCTCATGCATGCAACCAAATACATCAGACTTACCGGACACCCGAATGCAACTCGGAAGAAAAGAGCAACTTCTGGAGACAGACAAGCACCACTGCAAATGATCAGGCACACGTGCCCACCGAATGATTTGCGGAACTTTTTAAAGTAAAGCCAATCATCAAAACCACTTTGTTCATATTGACCCCTAAGACGAGAAAGAATGAAAATAGGAGTATCAAAAGAATATCTATTAGTTTTACACATTTCTGCCAACGTGCGCTACATAGAAATCGCGTAGACGTTTGCACACGCGTTGGTATGAATAACTTGAATACCAAAGCACAATGTTTTAGTTTGACCGGGAGAAACCAGTATGTATCTCAAAATCCTATATGAGCGTGACAATTTCTGGGCAATTTTCCTGTACTAAATTTATCACAGCTGCAGAACATGGAATTTGCTTTCAATATTTGTTAATTTGTTTGCAATATGGCAAACAAATTCCAATTTGTGGAACTACAAGAAAGATCGATAGCTTCAGCAGTAAGAGTTAGTATAAAAGATTTATATTATTGATGGAAAAACTGCAACATGCTTAGCACCTTTTTGTTCAAATGATTGTTTGGCAGACTGAAGTCCTATGCTGAAATTGTGAAAAGTTCAGTAGCATCATTTCTCTGCACCTTTTGATTCTGTACCGAACTGTAAACCAAACTTCAAGTGCTCCAAGTCAAGGTAGCATTCGTGATTTGAATAATGAATTCACCAGTTGATGGTACGGTCAGATAACTAGCCAAACCTTCACTGCATTAACTGCCTTGATGCATTTACAGTGTACGCTTCCATAGTTCCCTTCTCACAATTATTTATTAATCATTTTATTACTTATTTAATTATTTTTATTTATATGGTATAACCCCTTAGTTTCCGCGGAACTCAATATCTGGAATTTTGGGGACTTCGTTGAACTAGCTCCAAATTTACGTTTTACGACCCGTCACAGCAGTAGTCACAACGGCCGAACGATTTCTAAAGTCAAAAAATCTTACCCTGCATTGGGGTTCTAGTGCCACAGAACAGTTCATGAATTGTAGTAAGACCATATTTGAAGCTCCAGAAAAAATGTTTCTAACACCTTGTTTATGATTCCTTCCCATTCTGCACCGTTTTAAAAATTAATCATGTATCATCTATACATTAAGCTTCAGATGACGGAAAACCCGAGCATCGAACTTTGTTTCAGCTATGGTACACATCATGGGAAGCACCTCCAGTCATTCATTGTACTCAGTCACATCAGTCGGATAGGGTTCAGTCCCAATCGGATCTGTTTAGTCGATGTGAACACTTACTTAAATAGATTTTGAGATCTGTCAGATATACGAGATGGTTTTCATTGGCAAGACGCATTTGTCTCGAGAATACCCTAGCTCTTTCATTTCTTTCTTTGTGTTGGGTCGCTAAACCTACCTATCAAGGAAAGCTGTCCAGTGATCCATGACAGGCTGTCCATTATGAAGCATTTTTATTTGAGGTTAATAGAACTAGATGTAACCACTGACTGTGGACAGAGGTTGTTTTGTTTGAGCGAACTGCTGGGATATCGTGCTCAAGGCATGTGGCCATTCACGAGATTTCGTTTCAACACAGGATACCGATGACAGACATTATCAAAACTAACTTTTGGTTCTGTAAGGTTCTCAGAACAAACTGTAGATCTGTTACTCAGGCAAAACAGACATGACAATGGTGTCCTTCGATTTATTGCATATCGGCTTAGTGAAAGGATAGAATGAAATTAGTGGCTTTAAAGGTAATTAATGTAACAATTATGACTCTAGACCAAATTATTCTGAGGCTGCCTTCTCGACCAGTATAACATCATGCCTTTCTTTCAGATAAACACCGTTAGCAGTGACTCGCGATTTGCGAATGTGGTCTTTGTCACCCGTCTCGTTTTGAGTTCCAACAACACAATTCAACAGATTGTGAATAAAAGTAGCTCCCAATAAATAAAAATAAGAAATACAGTGGATCAATCCAAATATGACATACCGAATTCAAAATTTTGTTATGGGTAAATGACAAAACTGATCTTTATTGAATCCTAATGGGTTAGGTTGATAGTACAATTACATAACACATGATCCCGTTCACTCACGGGTGATGAACAGTTAGGTGTTCCAATGCTTTATAGAGCTGCGAGTTGAGTGAACCAATGGGTGGATCACAAACAATTTGAAGTTAAATTAGAGTCCCAGGTATTACATATACTGAGCCCAAAACAGTGACGACTCTTTTGGAGTAAACTTTCAAAGGGATGTTCACTGAGGTGACCATTCCTGGATAGTGTTAGTAGAGTACTACTCGGGTGGGTAGGTAAATGTAGTATCTGATAAACGAGGATCATGCCACCCTGTAGTCCAATTAATATAGTCTGAGGATTTGCAGTCTTTCAAAGTAGTTATTAGGTTGTAACCCCTTGACCATTTTGGTAGCTGTTGTCTGCGGGCATTTGAGTGCTTTTTGGTCAAGCTTGTATAGTCTACTCGATGTGTAGTCTAATGTATCCTTGTGACAAACGGGGCATTAGATCTACTTCGAACGATCCAAAAATATGTTTCAGTTATCCAGCTGGAACATCTTGAATTCTCCTGATCGATAAATCCTGGATCCCTTTCGTTTGAAATAGGCGGTCATCACAGATTTCCAAGTACGTATGGGAAGCGACCCTGTGACGCAATGGTACGTCCTTATAGTTCATATGAGTAATGGAGGATTTGATTCCACTTCAAGGGTGAATTTATTGTGTATATGGTAAGCAAAGCATGAACTGAAAGGCTAGTAAGCACTGCATAGTTGGTTTGACATGGTTCAGTCTCATCAGCAGTGCGAATCCATCGACCCAAATGGGGATCGAACTCGAGACCGAGAACGCAAGCATACTACCCACTCGGCCACCGAGGTACTAAGCAGACCGTTTTTAATTTTCCACTTACACCACATAGCACACGCCATCTTTGCGAGCTTGTTGCGGGCCACGTACCTCGCTCATCTAATTACTAGCCTCCGGAGTTATGACTCAGTTGGAAATATTCACAACCTGACCATTTGTTTTATATGAGTCCAAACACCTGTCCAGTGTTTCATAGATTTTCAGGTCACGCTTCATTTAATATATCCACGATGAATTCACCTTTGAAACCTCATATTTATCTTTAGTAATTGATCATCAGTAGGCCCCTTTGAGTGTTTCACAATATTAAGGATGCTGTACTGTTTTCCGTGTTTCTACGTCTTCTGTGAATAATAGTGCTTTTTCCCCAAGGATATCTGTTACGAAAATGAATTCTAGGAAAGAGTAAGAAGGAAGTACGGATCCTTGTGGAACTCCAAGAACAGCTTCGATTTGTCTCGATTTGAAGTCAAATAGTTCGGCAAATCATAAAAGGTTTCAGCACGCTTTACCGTGATATCATCCACTTCCACTTAACCATAAACACAGACATGCATAAAGTGTATCTTGAATTGAAATGATCGAAATTGACGTAAGCACAAACAATTACAGACAAACGTTGCAACATTGCATTTTCTCCACTCCGTTCTTGACCCTCAAACGGACGGTGAAAAAGGTACTCATTGAGGTTTCTTAGCTATCTGCTCACATCCGATAATACTACATTCGTGGGTTATATATATTTTTTCTTTAAATACGGACATCCGCGACCGGTTAAACTAAATTGTTGCAAGGCTTTTGGACGGCTCTTTTGGAGTGGCTCGTCAGAGTAACAGTCATTTCGGTCCGAGCTAAAACTGTACTCGATNCTCGTCAGAGTAACAGTCATTTCGGGCCGAGCTAAAACTGTACTCGATTCTGTGAATAGTCTTGCCCAGTGATTTCTCAACTAAATGAACCTTGTGTTTGGTTTCGTCGTGGCTGAGAGAAGCTAATTTCCTCAATAATCATTAGCACGACGCCTAAGTTTTTCAGTGTCATCCATGGATCTTGTGTAATTGAATGAACCTCAGCTCATGTGATTATCTGTTTACATTATAATGAAAAACATTTCAAGATTTATTGCAATCAAAGAAACAGATCAGACAATGCTTTTCTTACTTACTTGTTCTGATTTGCCCGCACATTGTCCATCAGTGATTCAAGACGCTTTCGCACATGAGGTGTAATAGTCAAACTCTTAAAATACTCCAGTCGAATTCGAGTCAAGAGCTGTGGAACC